TGCAGATGAATTTAAGCATCAAAGACACAATAGCACATGACAGATGCATCCATGGGGATTGTCTGACAGAAATGACAGAACTGGACATGGTCATTCAGGATGGTTCAAATGACCCAAATATAAGCTGAAATAGAAACTAATTGAAAATATGATGAATAACATTTGCATCAAAACAATATTATTCCTGTTCCAAAAGTTGAAAATACTAAAAAATAAAAATAAAAAAAAAATGTTGAAAAAGTCCATTCTCACTTCCGAATAATTTTACAGTGAATTCCTGATGAAACTCAGAGTTTCAAAAATATCTGTGTTAACTCCAGGCTCTTTCTCTTCTCTATCCCAAGCAGAGCATATGATGTGACATCAGAAAATTTCTGACTACTTTCCTTACAGAGAAAAATGACTCCACCTCTCTCCAGTGGAAATCTGATTTCCTATTCCCTCACAACCTCCTCCTTCAGCTATAGGAATTTGTAGAAATTCAACACTCTCCCAATATTTGCATATGTTGCTTCCTGAAAAACTTTCCCTTGGATGTTTTTGACAGTTCAGATATAATACAAGAGATGTGTTGATTAAAATATTAGGGTTCTATTGACTACGTTAGTAGATAATATAAAGGCCAAAGAAAACCAATAGTTTCTTGTCCTGAACCACCAGAGAGGAATCATCAACACTGAGAAAGAGGACTCATATGCAAAATTTCTATTAATTTAATGGGCTATATTTCCTACCCTGAATATCCTGTTTCTATAAAAAAAAAAGTATAATGTCATCCCAGCCTCACCAGAACTAGAATTATCATGATGTATAACACACTTCAGGGAAAATTCTGAAGTGAGACCATGCATTCATAGTAGCCCTTAGAGAGCTTGCTTTACTTGTCTATTCTATGTGTGGGTACACCACAACTTTCTGCCTATAAATCAAAAAAAGTCCCTTAAAAAACACAATCTCCTGGTATTTGTAACCATACCATATAGACAAAACTACACTTTCAGATGGGGGCAAAATAAGACTATACTTTAAATTTTCTGTCATTTAGGAATCAAAACAAGATGCAAAAATAAAGGGTTCAAGGTAGCTTGTATATAGGTTTCAGAATTCTGGAAAACAAGTAGGGTAAGGCTGGCTCCGAGTCTCTATAAATTGACCTTGAGAGTATACTGCATCTAGGATATCTTCTGCTGAGGAAAGCCATATACATGGTGTGTAGCTGAAATGAGCAGAGGTAATGCGTCTACACATGCAGATGTGAAAGTATGGGATGTGCTCATGGGGACCAGATCATCCCAGTACTACTCTTAGATGTTGAATGTGGATCTGAAATTCTGAGTGTTTCTAACAAGATACTGCTGTTCTTGCTCTAATTTAGTCCTTTGTGATACCCAGATTTTGGTGATATGGAGGCTGTTGGACTTTTAAGACTCTGAGTCTACCTGGTAGAAGTAGGTTATTAAAGACATTTGTAGGTTCTGCTTTATTCAAGCTGTGGCATTCATTCTCAGCTCCCTTGTCCTCTAATATGTGAAAAGGTGATACCTCAAGCTCTCACTGCCTACAGCTCATATTAATCCAGCTGTTTCTGCCCTTCAATAACAATGTGGTGTCCTTATGAAGTAAAATAACCTATATTCCATTGAAGTTTTCATTTCAGGTAATAATTTATTGATATAGTCCTTTATTAGAACAGCAGTCATTTGTTTTACAATAGATACTTGACCTATTTGGTCTAAGGTGGTAATTCCCAAAAGCAGTGTGGGGTATGTTTTCTACCTCTTGCTAGAGGCCTAAAGTCAAATAAAGGGTGGTTATCACTCTGCCAAGCTTTGCGCCAACATTGCACTAGCATATCTTGCAGATGCACACCTGTGTCTGCTTGTGTGTGTGTATCTGTTTTTATATGTGTTTTTCATCCTTTAATTTGATTTCTTTATTTTCCATTAGCTTCTTTGTTTTATTTTCCTATTTGTTCTCTAAAAAATGGAGAGAAAGTAGTCAGGGAGTTGGTTGGGTGGGCAACTAGGGAGGATCAAGCAGCAAATGAGGGAGAAAGACCCATGATAGCAACATGTTTTATAAAATAAATGTATTTCAAAATGGAATAATGTAGAGTCCTTGACCCCTCTGTGCAGTATATTTTTGTGTGAGACTGGAAACAGTGGGAATGGTGGCTGTCTCTAACTCTTTTGCCTGCTTTTGGGACCCTGTTCCTCCTACTGGTTGCCTCATCCAGCCTTAATATGATAGAAGTTGGCTAGTCTCATTGCAAATTGATGGGCCATGTTTGGTTGGTTTCCCTGGGTTGGGCCTATTCTTTTCTGAAGAAAAATGTGTGTAGAATGGATCTAGGGGATAGTGGAAGTTGGGGTAGAGACTTGGGAGGAGAGAAGGGAGGGAAAACTATAGTCAGGATCTAATACATTAAAAAGTATATATAAATAAATAAATAAATAAATAAATAAATAAATAAATAAATAAAAACATACATACATACATACATATATGCATACATATACATATATACATACAAAAAACAAATGAACCAATTCTCAAAGATAGAATCTAGCTTCTTATTAATATAACTATACAGTTTAAAATAATGTATCCCCTACATTATTCTTGCAAGTTTACAGCTTGAGGACTATTAAAAGAGGGTTAGAAATGACAATATACAAAGCATGCATCACAGACTTAACATATTTATGCAAAATGCAGTACCCTAGAAAAGAGAGAATGAAAACCTGTTGTTCTCAGAGAATAGGTTCATGAGTTCTTAGAAAAGTGTATTTACAAATATGCAGGATTCACAAAATGCACAAATTCAATGGGAAGAATACAGAAAAAATATCAAACGTGAAGAATTGTGAAAGGGGAGTACAAAAACCACTATTTGGATATCGAAGATCAGAGGGAGAACTGAATATAGGTTCTGATGACCTGGTTACAGCTGGACATTGACATTCTTCACAGATTTAACAGAAGCTTCCTGTAATTATCTGTTAATGGGAGTATCCAGTTTTCTGATATCTGAACTTGGGTTATGATATAAAGATATAAATTGACCTGCATTCTCCTGTAGCATGCACTTCATTAAGCAAACAGTTGACAAAATATTTCCATCATGTCAAGATCTGATTCACTTTTTAAAATGTGCTTTTATTCAGAGTGAAAGCATACATGAAATGAAAGCAGGATGTATTTGTGGAACATATCAAAAACATCAGAATCATTCAGATACATAAGGAAGTATATGTTATTTCACAGGCAAAGTTATGAAATTTTGAAGAGGTAAAGAATAATATACAAATCATATCCTTTCTCTTTAAAACTAGAAGAAAAATATAATTAATATTATGGAAATCAAGTTTCTAATGCAGAGAAAAAAATAAGTCATATTGGAAGATGAGAGAATAAATACTGAATTCATCAACACAGGAAACCAATAAACAAAAAAATCTGAAATTGCTACATTATATCTCACTGTTGTCATGGTGCTAAGCTGTATTAAAGACTTATATGTAATTAAGAAACATGTGGATTACGCTATAGGTTGGAATTTTCTCTTAGAAAGTGCCTTGTTCTTGATGCAATGCAGTGAGTTCTTATCTGGTCTTAACAAAATAATGTAGCATTTGGGGGCAAAGATGCAGCCCAGGAGGCCTGCACTGGAAGCCAAGATAGCAAAGATTTCCATGGTCACCATGACCTTCCCCTTGGTGCTATGATACACAGGAAGGAATGTGATCCACACACTAAAGAACACCAGCATGCTAAATGTCAAGAACTTGGCTTCATTGAATGTGTCAGGTAGGTTCATGGAGAGGTAGGCCATAGTGTAGCTGCCAAGAGCCAAGAGGCAGAGGTATCCCAGGACACAGTGGAAGGCAACAATTGAGCCCTTGTTGCAAACAATGATGATGAACCCATGTTCAGAGTGAGCATCTGAGTCAACAAATGGAGGAGAGGTGCTCAGCCAAACTCCACAGAGTACAAGCTGGAGGAGGGTGCAGATGGGAATGATGAAGTTGGGGGCCCTTGATATCATCAGCCACCTCATCATTCTCCCTGGAATGGTGACCTTGAAAGCCAGAACCACAGTAAGAGTTTTTGCGAAGACAGTGGAGAGAGCCACTGTGAATAGAACCACAAATGTGATCTGCTGCAGGATACAGGTGGCTGTGTTGGGATGGCCAATAAAGAGCAATGGACAGAGAAAACAGAATGTCAGAGAGATGAGCAGGATATAAGTGAGAGCCTGATTGTTGGCCTTGACAATGGGAGTGTTGTGGTGCTTCACAAAGACACTGAGAACCCCCACTGTCAGTAGAAAGCAGCCCAGGGCCATGCAGGAGAGTGCCATTCCTAAGGGGTCTTCATAGGACAGAAATGTCATGGCTTTCTTGATGCAGTGGTTCTGTTGTGTGTTTGCATAGTGTCTATCAGGACACTTCACGCAATTATCTATATCTGGTCATAAATAAAAGTTTTGTTGAGGTTGTGGTCAAGCTCCCCTTTTATCCCAAGACCCTTCCCAGAACCAGTTGTCTGGCATGATACCTACATCTCTTCTTTTCACAGTTTAAGACCCAAGTAAATTAGTCTTCCATAGTGAAAATTCCTAAATGATCTCAAATCAATAACCTCAAATTGATTCTACCCATTGTCTTTATTGGGATTTGAAGTGAACAATTCTATTCACTTTATTATTGTACATAAAAATGTTTGTTTTTACGTGGCAATTTTCACCTTTTTATATAGTCATAAATTATTAACTTAAATTATGTAAACCTAACTTATTCATAAGACTCCCTCCTTGTGAAATCCATCAAGTAGGAATTGGTAATGTGAGTTAACTATCAAGAGTTTTTTTCTAATTTCTTTGTATTATATTTTTCTGTCATTGGCCTATTTTCTGTCATTGTATCTATTTTCATGGAGTTTATTGGATTCTCCACTTTGTTCATTTTCTGACGGTTCATGCAGAAATAAGAATTATTAGATTCTTCATAGCATGAAAACTTACGTTTCTGAATCTGTTTAGTGTTTAGTCATTTGCATGGAGAAAAGATTTATTTAACAGATAGGCATAAAAGTGATTTTTTGTTGTTTTTTTACATAGGGTATCTCTGTGTAGTGCTGGCAGTTCAGGAACTCATTCTGTAGAAAAGACTGGCCTCAAATTCATTCATAGATATGTCTGCCAGAGCTTCTACAATGCTTGGATTAAGACATGTGCCCCCACTGCCTGATAATATAAAACATTTTTACTAGTCTTAGTGTGTGATGGAGTAATTTTTTGGTAATTTCCTAATGGTAATTTGTAAGTTTCATCAAAAATAAACAATACATAAGTATCCATGTATTTGTATCATGCTTTCATTTGGTTGAAAATTTTTCCAAACTGACTTATTCAATTTTATATTTGTTGAAATTATTTAAACAAGTTATTGAATTCACGATTTTTTGCGGGTACCAAGATTATCCTTTTTTATTTCAAGTATTTACTACAGGCACCATTCATTATCTCCCAAAATGAGAATAAGTCCCCTCTTCCTCAGTGAACTTACACTCTCATAGAGTAAATTTGTTAATTATTTTGCAGGAAGAGAGACAGATTGCAATGGTTCATTTTGATGGAACTTAGAATTCCTGAGGAGACAAATATTAAGTTGAGTCTGTGAGGGCATTTCAGTTTGGGGGTCTCACTCTGGTGGAAGGGGTTAAACCCACTGAGAGAGTACGGGCATCATTCCATGGCCTAGAGTCCAAGACCCCCCCCCAAAAAAAAGTGGAGCTCAGGGTGTTCATCTCTCCCCCTGCTTCCTGACTACAGTACCAATATGCCCAGCAGCTTCTACTCTTGCTGACATGAGGACAGTACTCTCAAACTGAGCCAATTTGTCAAGTAATTGGTCAGAGCATCAAGGAAAATAACTAACTGATAAACATGTCTGCATATATATTATTCTGTCACAAAGCAGAGGAGTTGTGTACCTTCTACAAAGCTACACATACTGCTGTTGTTGAAACAGACATGTTAGGGATATTTCAGTGTAAAGACCAACACATACTTTTTGTATTAGACATAACTGTATATTAAGATATACTGAATCATAGGTGAATTTTATACGTTTAGTTACCTTTTCTGCAAAAGTAATTGATACCCCTATACAAACAGAGTATGAGGTAACTGAGAAAATATTATTACCATATTTATCCATCCAAAGCTTCATAAGCTACCTGAACATAGAGCACTAAGCCGAAAGAATACTTTCATATCTTAAAATGGTTCAGCCATATGCCTCATAATCTACATAATATTTGACCATTTTCAAATTGATTCTTTTAAAAAGGTGAAAACATTAAGATTTCGGTATTGAAAGATGACAGACCTCATGAATAGTTTTATATTTATTTATTTTTATATCCTCTAATGATAATGCTGGCCTTCACTGTAATGTTAGTAAACTTCTATTGGACTTCACTGACAGGCCTTATTGAACATTCACTAACTGATAAACTTCTCAAGATGTCATCCATACCTGCTTAGGGTGCTATGTCTACCTGTGACTACTAACACCATCCGAATTCTCAAGCAGGCTCCTTGCAATGATGGCTGGAGGTTGGTCTGGCTGCAACATCTGTCACCCCATTGAGGGCCAGGCTTGATTCATATGATCTGACTGGCTAGGAAAGTGTTCCCTTCCTCTCTCACCACTCCATGTACATCCTTCCTGAAGGTGCACACTTGTTCAAAGAGGAGGACTTTTCCCAACTGGAGCAGGACAAATCCTCAGTCATGTGTATACAAGTAGCTGCACTCCCCTGCTAGAACCTCCACACAAGCTCTCAAGGGTATCTTTTATTGTGTGACTTCACACAATCCTCACTCTCAAGGCACTCCTCTTCAGTTCCCCATGGATTTACTGGCTATTGGTTTCTAACAGAGCATAAGTTCATCACAGCCATAACCCCATGTCTTATTTGGTAAAGAGCACAGGGTATATAAAATATGCCAAGTATTCCACAGAGACTAAATATGTAATTTTCAAAGATAAGTACAGATTATTCTACATGATTTGAAGAGTAAGATTCTCTGTTCTGAACCATTTAACATTTATGTTTTAAGTGTCTTCTTTCTCAAACTGTCTTGAAGTGTCTTCTTGAACTGCAATCATTCAGGGTTTCAGGTTGAGGTTTCAGTCTTCCTCCAATTTATACATGGAACATGTGCCTGAACTTACCACACCACCAATGCACACAAAGCAGCTATATGCATGATAAGTCTATATAGTATAGTCTTAATATACACATTTTGAAAATAGGCACTTCAAAAACACTCTAAAATTAGAAAATTTACATTTTCATGAAATAATATATAAATCCCTGATTGTTTGGGGAAATGATTGTAGGTTCAAAATATTCAAGTTAATAAAGAAAGAATCTAATTAGACTGAAATCATAATGATTGGAAATCTTATCTGGTTTTCTCTCCATATTCAACCTTGTGTCTGTGTGTGCTTCTCACATTCACTATTTTCAGTCACCTCATACCTATTTTCTGTTCCTTGGATGTATTTCAACATAGGGTTCTGCTATTGTGCCCAGATCTGCTGTGAAAAACAGATCCTTGAACTTCAGTCCTGAGTTGCTCTGAGAACAGGAGTGCACACCTCTGCCTGGCTTAATCTCAACATTACCATTAATGGGAGTGATGATGCCATTTCAACTGTTGTCACAAGTCAGTTTTCTATAATTTACCTATTTTATGTTCACTAATGCTTCATATTAACACATTATAAAGATAGAGTCATTTGTATGCAATAATAAATGAGTATTACCAGTACTTTAGGGCTTAGGTTAATCAAATGAAAAGAAGTGTTACAAATCTAGATTTAATTTCATACTACATAAACAATTCTTAATTTAAAAAATATTTTGTTCAATGGAACATTCTCATGATAATTTTTGTGATATACTACACTAATGTATATTTTCTGCTCCACAACTAATTTAGGAATTTAAAACCTATGTTATATGCTGATCAAACTCTCCTTATATATTATGTACCATGATGTTTCCTGTATGCATATGAAGATGTAGGTAAACAAGGAAGAAAAGATAATAATTAAGGGAATGTTGAAAGTTATTTATGCAAGATATCAAAAATAAAGTACTGAAAAAAAGGTTGTTTGGTACAGGGCACCTTTTGCTCTCCAGAAGGTCCCATATTCTGTCACAAGCACCTACATGGTAAGACAGTGCCATCTGTGACTCCATGTCCAGGTGATCTGATGACCTATGCTACCTTCCATGTGTTCCAAGCAAGCCTGTGGTTCATATACATGCATGCAGGCAAGACATTAAGAGACAAAAGAACATGAAAAACCTTACTTAAAATATTCATAACTATAACAAAGAGTAGATCAAATACATTTCTGATCATCTTTGATGAATCCAGAGCCATGATTGAAATTATGAAAGTAAGGATGGTAAGGACACAGCCATAAAATTTGTGTAAATTATGAATAAATGCGTTTTCAAAAACAAGGGAAGTTGACAATTTATACCGTGTGTGTTAAATGCTATGACAAAATGAGCAGACTACTCTGGGATAGATAAAGTGTTTTTTCTACAGAGACCAATTCCTAGAGAGAACAAATATTGATCAATCATGAATTTCAATGGCCAGACTGAAATTTTGAAATGATGATACAATGAACTGAAACATTATGACTTTTAAATGAAATAATAGTACTTATCTCTGCTGTTCATTCACAGAAAGTTTCCATCTGCTTAGACATTGCAGAACACTGTAAAGAGGTGGGAAATACCCAAGTTGGACTGACACTTACCTGTCTCATTGGAAATCTCATTATCTGGACAAGGAGTGCAATTATAGCAGCAGACAGCCTTGCCCTCCTGGGGGGATTTCCTGAATCCAGGAACACAGCTCTCACTGCACACAGAGCGAGGAAGCTGGGAATTAAATACATGAGAGAAAACATTTAGGAGGGGACAGGGTTAAGGTAATAAAGAGTACTTTTCAATATTAAATAATGAGATGGAAAGTTTTTATAACTGCAGATTATGGTTTTGATGCTTAAACTTTGAAATTATATACCCAATGAAGTTCAGTATGTTAAAACAATGATCCAATGACAACAAATCTCTGAACAGTTTTGGGAGTATTAAGTGGCAGCGCAAAATAATAAGAAGTTGCATCATTGAACACATGTCTGGAAGGGCAACTAGAATGTCATAAAGTGTCCCTACTGTGTGCTTTCTAATGGCTGGATGGAGCATTTTTTTATAATGATGATATGTAATATCTCTTTGCATATAAACCTAAAAGGATTCAGAATCACAATCCAAACAAGTCTTTGAGCCTTTGTGTGAGAGATGATGTACATTAGGGTACTTGAAGAGGGGTAAGACATACTGTAAAAGTAGATAGCACCATTTCATTGACTACTATCCTGGACAGAGTGAAAAACAAGAAGAAATATGAAGAGAAG